AATACATTGAGGTCTCCCCTTTACCCACCGGGGGGGGGGCACATTGGGGTCCTTCCTTTACCCACCGAGGGGACACATTGGGGTCCCTCCTTTACCCACTGGGGGCACATAGTGGGTCCCCCCTTTACCCACCGGGGGGGCACATTGGGGTCCCCCTTTAACCCATCGGGGGGGGGCACATTGGGGTCTCCCCAGGAGCTACCGGGAGGTGTGGGGGGGTACAACACACACCCCCCGACCCCTCCCGGTGCCCCTCGGGCACTTACCGGAGGATCAAGACCCCTCCCCGGTTACCCCCCGGGGGGCCCACAGGGACCCCTTAAACGCCAGTGGAGGGACACACACACACACACACGACACCGGGGGGCGTTCCGAGCCCCCTCGGTCTCCCTCAACCCCTTGGCATCGGGATCGCCCCCCACCCCCCCTCCCGCCTTGCCCGCTCACTCACGGAGGGGGGGGTTGGGGCAGGAGCTCCCGCACCCCCCCAGTGTCTCACCGCGGAGCCCCCACCACCACCACCACCACCACCACCACCACCGACCCACTTCCCCTCTCACCCCCGCGGGGGGCTCCCTCCCTCCGGGGGCCTCGTGGCGACCGCCCGCCCTCTGCCTGCCTCCCTCCCCTCCGCGGGGCCGTGCCCGGGGCCCCGCAGCCCCCTCCGTACCTTACAAGCCTGGTAGCTCTCGAAGGCGCGCAGGGCGCTCTCCGTGAGCTTGACGTGGAAGACGGAGACGCGGGTGCCGCGGCCGAGGCGGCCGCAGGACAGCCCGTACCCGCGCTCCGCCTGCAGCGCCGCCATCTTGGGACCGTCTCCCCCTCCGCGCCTGGGCCGCCGGGGCCGCCCGCCGCCGGCCACGCCCCCCTTATGAATTATTCACGACCCTTTCCCGCGCCGCCGGCCACGCCCCCTCCCGGGGCGCCTGTTGCTGGGGCGAGGCGGCGGGCAGCGCGCGCGCCCATTGGCTGAGGGGAGGAGGGCGCCGCGTCGGATTGGGGGGCGCGGAGGGGGAGGCGGGGATATGTAAATGACGGGGAGCGGGGCATGCTGGGGAGGGTGGTCTGGCGCGCTGGGGGAGCGCGGGGAGGGGGCGGCGTGGGGGGAACCCCCGGCATGAGACCCTCCGGGTATGAACCCCCCGATCCCTGACATGTCCCCCCTACCTGGGGTATGAACCCCCCTGGGAACACCCTGCAGCTCCCCCCTGAGCAGGATTTGGGGCCCCACACCTCCCCCTGGGCATCCCCCCCAGGCCCAGCCCGTGGGCTCCATGTGCCCCCCACTCAAGCGGGACCTGTGGTCCCCTGGTTCCCCCTCGCCCTCCAG